TGAAAATGTACTAATCCATTCCCCTTAAAGTCTCATTTCCAACATTTGAAGTCCAAATTTTTCTCTGCATCTCAAGGCAAATTCTCAGCTTTGCATCCCTGGGGAAATAAAAAAAAAGTTATCCCAACATACAATGGGACATGGTAAACATTCCTATTCTAAAAGGGAGGAATAAACCAAGTGTGGTGGCACGTGCCTATAATCTCACCATGTGGGACGCTGAGGCAGGAGGATCACCACAAACTGGAAGCCAGCCCAGACTAGGTCAGCCTGAACTACATAGTGAGACCCAATCTCAAACAACAAAACACAAACAAAAGCGAAAAGGGAGGAATAGGAGAACAGAAAAGAGCTGGACCAAAGCAAGACCAATACCCAACAGGGAAAAGATTAAGTCTTATAGCTCCATGTCTGGTGTGTGAAGCACATGATGGTAAGCTTCAAAGGATTTGGGCACTCCCACACCTATAGCCTTGCCAGTTGCAGTTTCTCTCTTAGGCTGGCTTTGCTCATTACCTGCAGTTTCCCTTGGCAGACATTCCACGCTCCTGGCATCTCCAACTTTTTTGTATCTCCATTCAGCTTTAGTTTCACTCTCACAGATTAAGCATCATACTCTCAGGGGCTTCCAGCAGAAACTCTGGCCCTGTGACATACTGCCTGGCCTCCCAAGCCTTCCCTTGAAATCTGAGTAGAACCATCTGTGACCCCATAACTCTTACATTCCACATGCCTGAACAACCAGTGTAATGTGGACAGTGCCAGGGTTTGCCACTCAAACAATAACTGGGCCCTGTTGGACCATGACTGCAGTAGCTTCTGAGTACCTGGCAGGCTGATCACGGTGAAGTAAATCCCAGAGAACAGGCAGGAGGCCTATAGGGTGTGTGTGTGTGTGTGTGTGTGTGTGTGTGTGTGTGTGTGTGTGTGTGTGTGCGCTCTTAACTGAAAGATTTATACTTCTGTACCCTTGAGAATGCAGTGGGTGGGGTCTTGAGGATTCCTGAGAGGCCCTCAAGGCATCTTTCTTGTCTTGGTTTAAAGTATTTGGTTTCATTTTAATGGCACTAATCTTTTAGGCAACCACAACTCCTTTCCCAGTTTTACATGTACTTCTTTTCTGGCCAAAATGAAAGTTTTAAAAATCCTTCCACTCTGTTTTGCTCCCAGTTCTCATTATAATTTAGGTTAAAAGCCACCAGAAGTACTCAAACTACCACTTGCATATTGGGCTGCCTTGAAATTTCCTCCACCAGATCAATTAGCCTCACACAAAGTTTTAGGGCATAGAGAAAATGCAGACAAATTATTTGCCAGAGTGTAAAATGCATGGCCTTTCGTCCCATTTCTAAGTCACCATTCGCAAGAAACCTCATGAGTTTGGCCTTTACTGTCTGCATTCCCATCAGTATTCTGATCTTCTCAGCTCTGATTAGAACTGCCCATCAGACTCCGCTTAGAGCATTTTAAATCTTTATGACTCATTTCTTTAAACTTCTCCAACTGCTTCTTGCAAACCAGTTCCAAAGACATTGAACCATATGGTTAAGTATAGTCCCACAAATGACCCCTACTTCTCTGCTATCAATTTTCTGTATTGACCAATTTCTCCCTTGCTAGGACAAAATTCCTGATACCCTCAGCTTGAGCAGAGATTTCAGTCTGCGGTTGGCTAGTGACAAGGCAGAAACATGGGGGAAGGGAGAAAGAGCTGCTCATTTCATGGCATCTAGGAAGCAGAGCACAGGGCAAGAGCCAGGGAGGAAAAGTCCATGGTCTGCATATAGTTACTAAGGTCATGTTCCAAAGACCCACTTCTTCTAGCTAAGTTCCACATCCAAATAGCCTATTCAGCTATGAACTCAACAATGAATTAGCCCATTAATGAGCTTTGTGCCCTCACAATCCAATCATCTCTTTAGAAATTTCTTAATCTAGTCAAATGGACAATCAAGCTTAACTAACACAAAATGTAATTATTGTTATTGGTCTCATTGCTGACAAATAAAGATAAAACAAAATCTTAACAGCAGCCAGAGAAAAAGGCATGATACAGAAGGAAGCAATGGTAAGAATTACAACTAGCTTCTCAACAAAAACAATGGAAGCCAGAAAACAGAATGGTATTTTTATTATTTTTATGGTAATGGGGATGAAGTCAGGGCATCTCACATGCTAAGAAAGTGCTCTACCACTAATCTATATCCCTATGCCAGCATGACATTTTTAAAGATAGAAAGAAAACCCCCTAATGACTTCTCATTGCCTATAGAGTAAATTCTAAGGTCCTTAACTTCAAAACATGTTTAGTCATCTGCGCTGGCAATATACTATTACTTAATGCCTTTTTATTATCTAGGCCTCTTTATGTAGAAAACCCTTCTCTTTGCCTGATTGCCCAACTAGTCTGACTACACATCTGCTCTCTCCTTGTGGTTTAATCTTTCCCTTTGTAACGGTACATATTTTTTGTTCTATCTGCTTAAATTTCCTTCTCTGATGCTAGATGGCTTGAGCTCTTTTAAAGTAGTTGTTTTTTTAAAAAAATACCAGTACTTATTGTACTGTACAGGGTGGACATATGATAATTTTTGAATTAATTCCCTTAAATATGTAATATTAAATCCAGAAATTATTTTGTTATCAGGGTCTGTAATTTCTCTACCCCATAACTAATTATTTCTTATTTTTTGTTCTCAATACTTTTGGTTATGGGCTGGGGATTTAGCTCAGCAGCACAGTGCCTGCCTGGCAAGCGCGAGGTCATGAGTTCGATTCCCGGTACCAGAAAAAAAAAAAACTTTTGTCTGATGGTGATGCTAAACTAGATCATTCTAACCATTTCTTTCTTTTTTTTAAAAAATTCTAACCATAAGCTATCAATTGTTTCTTTGGAAAGGCCTTCAGACATGGAGGCTCATTTTACCCTTCCTTCTTTTCACAAATCCTCTTGTGGGCTTATGGGAGTCATCTACATGTTTTTATCCTAGATATTAGTTGCAAACATCTTCCATATGTTTGTTTTGATTCAAGTTTTGTTGATGCCTGATTCTACCTGGTTCCATCTACTCAGCAGTAATTAGCAAGGATGGTTTTGTTTTTGATTTGAGTTTTCCTGAAAGAGAGGAAGAAAAAAAACACTTTCATGTTTGTTTATGTTTGGAAGTTGGAAAGATAGAATGAGTGAAAGAAACTGAGACAACATCTGTCTTGGTTACTTTTCTCTTGTTGCTGAGACAAACTACTTGATGCCCAGAATTAAGGAAAGGTGTATTTAGCTCACACTGTGGAGGTTTCAGTCCATACTCAGCTGGCTCCAAGGCAGAGTGGCACATGGTGGAGGGCAACAGTTCATGGAGTGGGAAGACAGCAAACGCAGCAGAGCAAAAAGGGAGGAGCAGCAGAGAGCTGCTTCCTTATATTATATGCTGGTTACCCACCCTAGGGAGGGAGTAGCATTCACACCCATAATCCTTGGACCATGAATCAATCAAAAACTCTAGAAGCCTGCACGCATGACTGTATGAGGCTTTGGGGGGACATCTAGACACCAACCATAACACCACCTACCTCATAAGAACAAGGACTTTTATTCTAAATGCAATTTTATACATGCCTATCTACTCTTTCCACTCTATTGTTTCTTTTATTGTTGTTTCCTTCTTTATCTTCAACTAACCCCCAACCCTCAGTACTGAGGATTAAATGTATGGCCTTTACATGGTGCTACACCCTCGACCTTTAAATTTTTTTATTTTGAGATGGTCTGGCTAAGTGACTAAGTTGTCCGAGTGAGGCTCAAACCTGTGCTTCTCCCGCCTTAGCCTCCCAAAGTATATGTGCACCAATGTACTTGGCCAATGCCTCTTTTTCATAAACTTTTGATGGAGTTTTTGTTTGAATAGTTCTTGGTAAGACTGGATGACGAGGAACCTTAAGGAAAACTGAGAGGAAAAAACATGTTTGCAGGGAATTAAAATCCTTTTATGAGAAACCAGATTTACATTTTTCCCCATGAATTAACTGTTTGCATCAGTTTGGATAAGAAAAGCCTAACTAGATAGGCTCCGCATAATTCTGGGTGTGGTGGATCCACCAGAGGGAGAATTGTTGCCAGAATGGTATAAAAAAGGGGCTGGGGATTTAGCTCAGTGGCAAAGTGCCTGCCTGGCAAGTGCAAGGTCGTGAGTTCGGTTCCCGGTACTGGAGAAAAACCAAAAAAAACAAAAAAAAAAACAACAGAATGGTATAAAAGAGAAACAAGGAAGGAAGGATTGCTTGTTTCTTCAGAGGAGCTTGTCTTTGCCTTCACTTTGGCTGTCATCTCCTGGCTTCCAGCACAGGAGCTTCAGCCTCCTGACACTGAGTTGCATGGGACACTATAGTGAGTTCCAGGTCTTCAACTGGATCCTTCAGCTCTCCAGAACACAGACAGTCCTTTTGCACTCTTCCACATCAGACTCCGTGGGCAACCACTGTAAGCCCAGTGGAAATTCTCATATATTTGTATATCGGGTATTAGATCTGTTTCTCTAGTAAGCACTGACTGATATACAGTTCAAACCCAGGGCTTTGTGCACACTAGGCATGGACTCTACCACTGAGTTATACCATCCACCCCAGATGCTTCTTTTATTGCTTAATAAGTAGAATACAGTAATGAACAGACCAGGACTAAAATCTTACAAAAGGTCTGCTCAAATCATTCATTCAAAATAGATTCTCTTACAAAATAAAAGCTTATGACTTCAGCATGTTTTTTTTCTAGGTTAATTAGTGGTATAAGTTATGTGAAGGTCAGGACTATATTTTACTTGCTTTTACATTCACATTCTCTGTCCCATCACATGTTAAATATACAACTAGAAATGAAATTGAGTCAGGTTCTTGTGCGTTTCCTATGTAAAGATTTTGGAGAACTACTTTTAACTTCTGGATAATGGTTTCTTCAAAAATGAATGTACTATCTCAACCCATACTTCATAAAACGCATCAACAAGTAAGAAAACCAGTTTTTATTTGGGCTGCCATAAGAAAAAATACCAGGCTGGTAGGCTTAAACAACAGAAGTTTCTTTTCTTATAGATACAGAAGCTGAAGTTTAAGATCAAGGTGCCTGTATGGTTGATTTTGGGGAAAGATTTGTTTGCAGGTTTTCTTCTTGGTGGAGAGTGGCCACTTTCTGGTATCTTAAAAATAAAATGACTTACCACAGTGGATTAGGTCAGAACACTTAGGACCTCATTTAACTTCAGTTATTTTCTAGCAGTCTACCTCTAAATATTTGGGGTTAGGGCTACAGCATATGAATTTTGCAGGGATACAATTCAGTCCACAAATGTAACAAAATATTCCACATTATTTTACCCCTTTGAATAAATTCAAAGCCAGGCATGGTGGCGTATGTCTGTAATCCTAGTAGTTGGGAGGCCGAGGCAGGAGGATCCCTAGGAGTTTGATGCTAGCCTGGGCTACAAAGTGAGTTCAAGACCAGCCTACACTAAACAGTAAGACCTTGTCTCAGTAATGGAATGTAGACATAGAGTTGCTGTTGCTCATTTTCATGGTCTACTTAGCTCAGATAACTTGACACTAGGAAGGGGCCATAGATAATTTGTACTTTATCCTATTTAAGGGAGACCAACTACATGCATCCATTAGCGCTCAAGTGAATTTTGAAGTCAAGGGCCAAGATTAAAGGAAATGAAGATATATTATGCCTCAAACAAGATTTTTGACTAGGTATCATGTTAGGTGAGGGGAAAAAGTGGACGTTGACACGGTTCCTGATTTAATGGTAGGGATATAGCTCGGATGGCTAAAATGCCTGTGTTCTGAGAAAGGACTCTAATCAAGCAGGCTTCTCTGAGGAGCAACACCTCAATTAAACCACAAAGACCACTAGGAAGAAATGAGGAAGGTGAGGCGGGGGCAGCCCCGGTGCGGAAGAACCGATTCGCCGACGCCCCGGCAGGTGGCTAGGCGCGGAGCGAGAAGGAAGACCACGCTCGGGTGGGAGCTGCAGCAACAGCACAGCTGGAAGCCGAGTGGAAGCAGCCCACGCACCAGGGCACTTAGACAGCCCTCAGACTTCGCTTATTTTGGTTGTCTCAAATTAAGGATACGTCTTACGTCTTGCATTTTTCTTCCAGTTCTCCATTTCCAGGTCTTTTGGTTTTTCTTTGTCGCTCCCGACTCTTAAGTATCTTCAACTGGGAGGACTCTGCCGCGGTGCAGAAACCAGAAGGAAACCAGGACAATTAGGGACGCGATATATATCCCCCCCGCTCCCCACGGAGTCTCTCCAGGGTGCTGAGAAAGGAGACTCAGAGTAATCAGCCAGCCAGGGGAGCCCGGGAGCAACATCACCTTCCATCAGGCTAAAGGGTTCCTCACCCTCTCTTCTACCGCCGCGCAGCCTCAGCTCACCCTACGGCCAGCGCAGGGCTTGATTGGCAGGGCATTCGCCCAATCCTAGGGTGGTACAGATTGCCGTCACTTCAGGGACTGGGCCTATCGGATTGGGCAGGGAGCGCGCTTCCTGCCCGCGCGAGCCCGCCCCCTCCCCGCGCACGCCCCGCCCCTCTCCCGAGAGCTACGCGGTGGCGGAACGCAGGCCTCGTGCCGTAACGGCCCTCCCGGCGGCCGCGGCGGTGTCCGGGTTCCCTCCGCAGGTGACTGGAGCCGCCCGGGCTCGGCGCGGGGCAGGTGAGGCGGCCTGCTGGCTGGCAGACACAGCGACAGTCCTTCGGTCGCCCGTCCGTCCGTCCGTCCAGCCTGTTACCGCTGCGTCGCTTCCTCTTCCCGGCGAAGTTAGCCGCGGGAGCGCCGTCTGCCGGCGCTGCGCGGAGCCGGAGGGGGCGGGGAGCCCCTGGGCCGAGCCCGGGCGTCTG